GCCCAGTTGGTCTTGAGAAGAAGATATTTAAAAGAAGCCAAATTTTCACGAATTCTTAATTATTTCCCCTTGAAAGAGGGCGCGGCACTTCCTTCACCCAATAATGCTTTGTGGCAAGTTTGGTTGAAATTGGCCCAGTGGTTCTTGAGAAGAAGTCGAAAATGTGAAAAGTTTACGGACTAAAGACGACAGACGGACGCCGGACACTCTTTGATCAGAGAAGCTCACTTGAGCCTTTGGCTCAGGTGAGCTAAAAATTACAATATGACAAGTTGTAATATTGTACTTTTGTGTCTACTTCCATCCGGTAAATTCAAAAATTACAATATGACAGTAATATAATTCAATCTTGTTTGCAATATGAAAAAAAATTAATGGCAAAATTGTCATTTTTATTGAACAAAGGGGTGCAAAATATAGGCTGGAATCGAGAGTTAGTGTGCGTAGTTCTTTGCCATACTCTCCCCATGGCCTTCTTTTAAAACTTAATGATGAACTAGTGATATTGTATGTTCGAGTACATATCAGGGTGTTGTGAATTCTCAGATGCAAGTTTCTGAAACTAGGCAAGTAATTTTATTCAGTGATAAAAAAAACTCTTCTGGAAGTAAATAGGGGGGGGGGGCATTTGATGTCAAAAACGACTGGGCATTAATATTGATTCTTCTAGAACACATGGGTTTTCCAAAAAGAAAAAAATCGGGTATTTAAGGCGAGATATTTTCTCGCATGATTCCGCAGACATCAAATCAACATTTAACAAACGAATTAGAGACAATGTTCAGCAATATCTCTCCTCCTCTCCCTTCGACCAACGTTAAATATATGTCAATTTTTGTAACGTTGATATTTGTAATTTTAATGTGTACCATGGCATTGAATATAGTATAACCATGTTTTGATAGAAAGTTCCCTTCTCAAAATTGCTATTTTTGTAACCATGGCAACACTGTTCATTGAAATAAAAATACTAAAATATTATTGAAGTCAGGCAAAAACTGTAGGAGGGAAAGCGATTTGAAAGTTGCTAAATATATAGTATACTCGTGTTTTGTTAGGAAGTCCCATTGTCAAAATTGCTATTTTGTAACCATGGCAACACTGTTCATTGAAATAAAAAAAAAACTAAAATCAAGAATTGTGTATCTTAGTACACCCTAAAAGTGTACCAAATTTTATTGAAGTCAGATAAAAACTGTAGGAGGGAAAGCGATTTGTAAATTGCTTATATAATTACGACAATCAGACAGCTGTAAAGCCAAAGTCTTAAGGATGACGGACATTGTGTAATTGTATAAACTCTTTCTATCAAATAAAATTGGCCAGTTTAACTAAAAACTAATTGTTTGCATGCTTTGTTTTAATAGTATCACTAAATCCTCTGTTATGGAAACATTATTTGTAAATTTGTTTGTATTTCTGTGATGTAAAAGGGAGAAAAACACATATTTTGGCAATTATGGGTCTCATTCGTTGCCATGGCAACCACGACGTCATCTTACTCTGCATAATTAAATACTTTAAGATTTTACCTTTCAGAAAATGTATAGGTTGCTTTATGTAAAAGTGACTAGAAAATGTTAAAATTTCAATTTGAAATTTTTAGGCAGTTTTGCAGAAAAAAATGCAAAATCTCTGGTAGTTAAAGGGTTAAGAGAGATAAAGGGATTTATGGGAAATGTAAAAATTTCATTGGAAAGATTTTTTTCTAATCATTCAAAAAGTATCCTGGATTTGATTAAATCGACCAACTACTATGCACATGACATAACAACAGTGCAGATGCATGTTTTCCTGAAATCTGGCAAGCTGTGATAGATTCGCTTTATTCCTAAAAGCAAAAGCATCTTTTGTAGTGCATGGTCCATACAGTAAATGTTAAAAAATAACAAAATATTGTTAATAAATCCCCCTCCCCCTTTTCCACCAATTTTGGCAGTATATAATACTTTACAGAGTTACTGCTTGCATCTTCAGTATTGCATTGCCTATGAGATGATAACTGAAATTTACATGATCAGCTATAATCGTAAAATGAAAAACCCTCTTTAGTTTTCGATAAGCAAATGGTGAACTTTTTGACACTGCCAGCCTTGGAGAGGTCATTGGCAATAATTTTTCATTTGTAAGTACAGATGTTAATATATCTATCAGGTACATATATATACATTGTATGATTATTGAAATTTAATTATTTCTTGTATGATTTTTCAAATGAGAAGCTTGATTTGTTTTTTAACATTTTTTTGCCCCCCCCCTTTTTTTTTTGAAAAAAGGGCATATTGCTCTACACTCTCTGTCCGCCGGTCGAACAGTAGAACAAGAGCTGTCCGTTCAATATCTTGAGAACCCTTAGTTTGCTTGACAAACATCAAATTTGATGTGTGAAGAAAAAACTTTTCTTTAAGTCATTGAAACTTGCGGAAAATAATACATGTAAATGCAAGAACAAAAAATTATGTAAATCTATAAATCAGTATGAACTATGAAATATATGTATATAATATTTAATTTGTATATCTCAATAAATGTTTACATGATACAGATCCGGTTTTAAATTTATGTAAATAAAATTTTATCAGTAGAAATATATTGAGCAGAGGCAAACGTCGAAAAAACACCTTTACTACTGAACCTAATATTAGATGATGAAATTGAGAAGTGTATTAAATTATTAAATGATGATTTTTTTTTATTGTAATGATTTGTTCTGTAATGAATCATTACTACAATATATATATATATATATATATATATATATATATATATATATATATATATATATATATATATATATATATATATATATATATATATATACATGTATATATATATATATATATATATATATATATATATATATATATATATATATATATATATATATATATATATATATATATATATATATATATATATATATATATATATTAAAAAGCACAAAGAAATTCACACCCACACCCACATATATATATATATATATATATATATATATACATATACATATATAACATAACTGCCCTAAGTGAAGAAATATTAGAAAGCACAAAGAAATTCACTTTTATAAGGATACCCACTTGCGCCCCAACCCGGGGTTGAACTCTCAACGGAATCTGTCTCCTAGCAGTGCAGGAACAGAGCGCTAGACCGCTCGGCCATCTAGGCAAGTCAAAAAACTTGCTTTCGATGCCGATGGAATTCTCGCAGCGCTGTCCTTCACTACACGGTCAGTGAAAATGGAAGTGAGATACAGTTAATTAGGACATTTTTTAGAGGATCGTTACCGATACATATTGTAATGAATTAATTTTTATTTATAAAGCACATTTTACAACAACTCTTAAACTAACATAACTGCCCTCAGTGAAGAAATATTAATATAGAAAGCACAAAGAAATCACTTTTATAAGGATACCCACTTGCGCCCAAACCCGGGGTTGAACTCTCGACCTACGGAATCTGTCTCCTAGCAGTGCAGGAACAGCGCGCTAGACCGATTGTGCAAGAAGAACAAGAAAAACAAAACGAATATCATCCAGAAAATAGAAGTTAGGCTAAAACAATACATCTTCCTCGTCAGAGCAATAACATATAGATAGTATGGAACATATATCAGAAACTGATCCAGGTTCTCGCAACAATCACTATGTTAGATTTATGAAAACTCCCATCAAATGCTTCAGTTTGCATTTATTTATTCCGAAAAAAAAAGCATTAGATAACAGATTGAAACACGAACATAATTTCTATTTCTGACCGACTGGGAATTAATAAACTTAAAAATAAGTCAGGTGTCTTTTCTACTACTATAGTAATATCATTATACATACATTCACTTGGTTCGAGGGCAACATGCGTTTTGTCGGACCCAAGAATCAAACTGTTTGCCTGAGGCCGTTAGGCCGAAGGCAAACAGTTTGGATCGATGGGTCGACAAAACGCATTTTGCCGGAGAACACAGTCAATAAATGTTTTGTTATACCTTTTATTTACTTATCTAATTTTTTTATTTGTTTGTTTGTTTTTCTTTTTGCTATACATGTATCTTTTGCCGCTGGCTTCCATACCAACGAATGCAAATAAGATTTAGCTAATCCCGCCCACAATGTGACGTAAGCGGTCCAATATCTCGTCCACAGGTCCAATATCTCACTCTGCAGTCAAACATCGACGTTTTTATGACTGTTCAGTAAAACATAAGGAATGTTAGACTTTGATTTACATAGGAGCTAGTTATATATAAGTATAACAATACATATTATTACACATAACCTTTTTCATTGTCACTGGTCAAATCCATTTTATTATATGATCATTAAGGAATCCAACAATGGCATTGTACTTGAAAATATTACTTCATGATTGCATAGCTCGACTAATAATTTTATGCATGGAGATACATATCAGAAATTGGTTATGTTACACGTACAATGGTAACTCGTCGCCTTTAGGGGTATCATTATTAATATTGTTTTGGGGGATGGTGGTCATATCAAAGTCAAAATAAAAGTAGTACGTATAGAATTTTAAAATACACCATTGTGTTGATATTTCAAAATTGAATGAATATCTGTATTCATTTAGACTCAGCTGGAAGCGGTGAATCCTAATGAAAAGGCTAAAAAACAGACGTCTTTAAATTCTTTCAAAGTATTAAGTACAAAAGTTATAAAATTGAACTTGTAAAATAAATAAAAGGAAGCCACCTTTAGTTTTTCAATGAATAAAAGTGAAGTTTAATTAAATCTGACATTTGAAACTTCCATTAAAAAGTAAGTTTCCAAAATAGCTGTCTTAACTAGTAATAACAGATACATATTTACAAGTTTTCACAGTAACAAACGATTCAGGGGCCCGTTTTACAAAAGAACTTACGACTAAGACCAAAATTTAATTCTGCTTGTAAATTTTTAATTTACATTATATTAAAATGGTTTTAATCTTTTTAAAAGGAATATAGTAAGATATTTTTACGCTAGCAATTTTAAAGAAAATCATCAATTATGCAAAATTTTGCAATTATCTTAAGTTTTTGATCTTGGTCATAAATTCTTTGGTAAAACGGGCCCCAGGACATGGAAAAGAGACAGTCTACCTTTAAAAAAATCAATGTTTCGTTTCAATTCATTATGTTAATTTCCTATAATAAAAAATATCATTAATTATGCACGACTTTCTGCAAATGTATTTTCCGTTTCTTCAATGGTAAATTGTGCAGCTGTGGACTTGGTTACTTTAGAGTAACCAAAGTTGAGCGTTCTCTGTCGGGAGGGGCTGTAAGAGGAAGCGTAGGTACTGCGGGGATCGTGACGACGAAGGCGACCACACATGGTTTGTCTGAATGCTTGTCTGTACTTTTTCGACATCAGATTGTATAGGATGGGATTAATGGTAGCACTGAAGAAGTACAACACGCCTACAACGAAAAAAAAATCACAAATTGACGCAATTAAATTATTATCTAGAACAATAAATGACTTCCTTTCTTTTCTTATGATAGGTACTACCTGACAGGAAGAACACGTGATTTTGGAGGTCCAGAAGCTCGGGTGTCCAGTGGTCTTTATTCATGTAGATAGTCCAGAGACGCTGGGCGTGGAATGGTGCCCAGCAAGCAAAAAACGCTATCACCACAGCAACTAAAATAACAGTTACCAAAATCAAGTCATTTGCATTCTGTGCATTTATAGTTTGAAAGAGAATAAATAATTTAAATATTCACTGTAAATTCTTATACCTAACATTTTAAGTACGGACTTGCGAGCCTGTGTTACACTGTACACTTTTCTTCTTTGTTTACGTGCTGGGCATTCTGCTCCTGAAGAATTCTGCTGAACCCCCACCACCTCCGATTTGTAAAGAGTTACTCCGATGCGGATATATATGAGAGTTATGAGAGTCATGGGTAACACAAAAAATACAAAAGATGATAACTGAAGGAACAGCTGCATCAATTCACGCCACTCTGGAGGAAAGCTGCAGACTACAGAAGCCAGAAGCGGTTCTGACGTCACAGGATGTACCAAGGCGTAAAACGTTCGAGTATGTATTGGATAAGGCAGGGCACAGATACTGGACAGAATCCATATCACTATTATCTCCTTTATGGCTCGGGACAAGTTGGAGAGTTTTTGTAATTTCATTGGATGACATATAGCTGCCCATCTTTCAAACGTAAAGGCAGTAATGGTAAGAATGGATGCATAAGCAGACATTTCAGTGACAAAGGCTTTGATAATACAGAAACCCTCACCAAGACGCCAGGGATAGGCCTCCCACACCATGTAAAGCTCCTGAGGAAGAGCTGAAAATATACAAAAGTGATTTTTATTTATTCTCTCCTTCTCTTCAAATGCATCAAGTGCCTCACTTTGAATTTTTATTGCACGAGAGATAATGCTTGTTTTATTTTCATTTTCAGAGTCGAACTGTATTGTAGACTTATCCCTCGGTTGAACAATAGAGATCTTAACATAATGCAAATTAGGATATCAATGTTGAATCCATATTTCCTGTATTTGGAACAATGTCTCAAACGGTTTGTTGATGTTAAGCTAAATCAGGAGATCTTAAGGAAGTCGGTTGTTTTCGTGTAGTACATGTTCGTTAAGCAGTTGCAAGAAGAATAATTATGTTCTTTAATGTAAGGCATTTTCTACGGAAGCGTATTTGTACCTCGTAAAAATTTTTTCAAGTGGTAATTCGAACTTTAATTTGAGCTCTTCTACCTTTTTCCTTAGCTTTTTCCCTTCATTTTAAATTATTACCAACTTTGTTTCTGCAAACGTAATATACTGAAACAAATTGGTGAGCAATTGAACTGTGTATATTTTTTTTTTACCTTGACCTTCCGTATGACCTTACATATAACTTCCTACGTTAAAAGTCCTTATATTACTTTTGGTCCATCTTGTATGATTTTATAGAGGATAACTTCATTAACTTCATAAACTTCGTGCATGACAGGATTTCAACCATACCTATTGAGAGAGATCAGACATATATCTGGTATAAGAGAATAAGCTTAAACAAATGAGACCGTGATTAGGTGTTTGATATACTGTATATGTACTCAATCAATCATTTATTTGAATCTCTTCACCATTTTACAATAGCATATTTAGACTTACAACAAATGGATTATTTAATACATAGCAATAGCATGCGTGAATAATAAAGAACAAAAACTAGTACCTTGCTATAAATGTGAAGCATGGGAATTATAGACCGGGGAGCATATTTTATTTATTTTCTTTATAAACGAACACATTTTTCTCAGAAAACAGTGTTTATTGCTATTCATGATGTTTTTAAAACTAATTATATTCTTAAATCTTATGTGTTTTTCTGTTAAGCATAGCATTCTTTCTTTTTGTAGTGAAGTGCACATAAGTATGTAATGAAATTCATCTCCGATTTCTTTTAGATTACAATGGGAACAAATTCTGTCTTGTCTTGGTATATTAAGCCAACGTCCACTTTCAATTGGTAAATGATGGTTACAAGTTCGGAATCTACAAAATGTAGTTGAATCCTTTTTTGATAAAATATTAAAATAGTTTTCAAACTTTAATTCGTCTTTGTATATCCTATAATTTAATGCTTTAGGTGAGGTTTGAAGAGTTGATTGCCAACTTTGCTTGAATTGATCAATTAATGTGAGTTTAACTTTCGCCTTTAACCATTTTGTATTATTTGAGCTTTGTTCAAGCCAAATATTAGATAGCCCACAATCATTCAGAATATTTCCAATATTTTCAAACCAGCTGATTTTTCCTCCTATTTCTTGATTTATAATAAAGCCTAATTTAAAGCATAAATTTGCAATTTTTGTTTCCTTGCCAGTAATTAATTTTGACCAGTAGGATATCAGGCGTGTTTTTATTTGATTTTCCGTAGGGTATCGACCAAGCTCACCATATATCATGAAATCTGGGGTTGAATCTTTTAAATGGAGTAAAAGTTTACAGAATTTTAGATGTACCCTTTCTATGATTGCATTATTTGAAAATCCCACACTTCACATCCATATAACAATATAGGTTGAACGATTTTATCAAACAAATCAAGTTGACACTGTATTGATAGGTTATGTTATCTTCCTTTCTTTAATACTTCATATAATGCTTTTGTTGCTTTTTCAGCTATTTTCTTTTTTGCTGTTTTAAAAGAGCCGGATTTGCATAATATAACTCCTAAATAGTTGAATTCTGTTACTACTTCTATGAACTTATCCTCATACTGCATTTGCAAATTTTCTGTACGTCTACCTTTACTAAATATTAATATTTTCGATTTATCAATATTTATTTTTAAATTCCATTTTTTGCAGTATTTATAAAAGGCATCTAATTGTTTTTGTAGTTCTTCAGAAGATTCTGCCACCAGTACAGTGTCATCTGCATATAGAATTGCAAATAATTTAAAGAATATATTTAACTTGTTTTCAAATATCTCCGACATGGTTGATAAATCTTCAATATTGGATGTATTCAGGAAATCATGTAAATCGTTTAGATACATAGAAAATAAAAATGATGACATATTTTCACCCTGTCTAACACCATTTGCACATTGAAATAAATCTGATTGTTCTTGGTTATAAACAATTCTGGATTTTATCTGGCTGTACATATTTAAAATAATATCAAACATTTTGCCGCTAATATTATGAGATAAAAGTACTTAATAAAGTGGGTTTCATATTTTAACGGCTTTGGTGCAGACAACAATGCGCTAATTTATGAATAACGCTAAGAAATCATTGATATATATATACAATACACAGCACGGACATGTATAGCGCTAATTCATGATTACGCCAACAACTCCATACCTAGTGACTGCGCTAAATTTTGAATACGCCAATTTATGTACAAGTACAGTATATTAGGGTTAATCAACACTATATTCCATGCTACAAATACAACTGAACTTAATGTATCAATATTCTGTACATGAAAACACAATGAAATTATTCCTTCTTGAATCATCAAAATTTCATAATTAAATAGTTTCTTTCCATCGTAGTTGCTTATGTACGACGGTTGTCTGGTAAAATCGTGGACAAGTAGTCGAGAGTGAAAAGTAATCAACACTGCTTTCTAAAATTCACAATCTCTGAAGTAACTTTACGTTTCATCTTTGCATAAAAAGTTTGAGAAGTCCCACTTTAATTCTGCCAATTTTACTGACGCTCATACTTAAATTCCCCTTTCTTGTTCCAGAAACATTCGAGGGACCAATCTCACACACAAACAGGGCCCTATGAAAACTTTTAAAAATAAATTATGGAAGGTACTCTCACTTTCACTGCCTATTTAGGAAATTTTTTTTTTGGTCTGCAATGATAACGTCTTTCGCCATTGCCAATAGCTGATTTTCTGTATGTTTTGATCTACCGGGGGACTCGAGCCAAAAGTTCCTTTTTTGAAAAAAATTCCCATTCCGCTTGTATTCTAATGTCTTAGGGATATTTTTTATATATTTAAGTCTCTTAAGGCGTCATTACGCAATCAACATATAACTGAACTGTTTTCAGGTACGCCGTACCGTCATCAAACGTCGCCATTTTCGTGTACTGCGTTTACCACTGCGAAAAATTAAGCAAATTTCTCGAAACTTTCCAAATGACGACATTATAGGTAGGGAAATAAAAATAATTTAATTTTTACCTCAGTCCTATCAATTAAATAAAAGCATGACTTTTTGGTCATGTGCCGTAGGGCCATACCCTGTGCAAATCAAGCATAATGAAATCCTAATTTTGAAATATAATTTATTAAAAAATATGATAAATAAACATTTGCTGCAAGATTCAGCTCAGTGCGTGCATTATGTTCCGATAAAAACGCGATGTCCACGAATTTACCGGACAGCCCTCGAATAAAATGGTAACACGAGTCCGGTTACAAAGTATATGAATACAACGCATAACGCCTTACAAAGTTGGAAAGGCTAAGAATAAAGTTGGGAAAGCCAAGATTAAAGTTGGAGAATCCGAGATTAAAGTTGGAATTACCAACTTTAAAATAAAATTACGTGGTACATGTACTAATACGCTTGTGCAACTTTTCGATAATTTATTAATGACGTCTCAAAATGTTGCAGACGGTCCATTTGAGTCAAAACTGTTTACTGATTATCAGAGGATTCGAATTATTTTACACGGATGATTGTAAGCCGTTTAGAACCTGAAGTCTGAAACTTTCAAACAAGAGGCCAAACTCGATACACAGAAAAATAATAGTAATACTTCAGTATAAAAACATTGTGTTGCTGAATTTATTGATTATATTCAGTTACTGCAATCGTTAAGAAAATTATATCAGATTCAATCGTGGTCGAACCCACAAAAAACACTGCAATAATTTCATATCACTGTATTTCTAGTCTTTATCTGATAAATGAAGTGCGAATTAAGTGCCCACTTAAAAAAAAAGTTTTTCAACTTATATATTGGGGCGTCAAATATGAGCGACCTTTTTTTCTCATTAAGAAGTGATGACCAGGGTTAATTTTTTGTGACAGACTAAATGGACTTCTAGCAACAAACTAAAGCTATACTAAGTGGACTTATACAAACTACAGCTATATATGCTAACTGGACTTATACAAACAAACAAAGGCTACATAATGATACTAACTGGACTTACACAAACAAACTATAGTTATGTATACTAAGTGACTTATTCAAACTATAGCTATATATACTAACTGGACTTACACAAAGTACAGCTTTATATACTAACTGGACTTATTCATGTAAACTACAGCTATATAATAATACTGACTGGACTTACACAAACAAACTACAGCTGTATATACTGACTTGTACAAACAAACAACAGCTATATATACTAACTGGACTTATACAAAAACTATAGCTATATAATGATACTAACTGACTTATTCAAACAAACTATAGCTATATACACTAATTGGACTTGTACAAACAAACTATAGCTAAATAATGATACTAACTGGACTTATACAAACTAAAGCTATATATTCTAACTGAATTATACAAACTATAGCTTTATATACTGATTTATACAAACAAACTATAGCTATATATACATGTACTAACTGACTTATACAAACTATAGCTATATATACTAACTGGAGTTATACAAAAAAAACTATAGCTATGTATACTAACTGGACTACAGCTACATGTATTTATACTAACTGGACTTATACAAACAAAACGATAGCTGTACACTAGACAAAATTGCTAACGCACCACCTAAATAAACTTACATTTTTCTTTTCAAAAATTGTTTATGATGTTTTTGATATATA